GCTCCACTAATCAAACCATTTCATACAATTCTTCATACACATTTGCTTTGCAATATCATTTATTTGGATGGATTAATCTCAAAGTGGCTGCGTTAATAAATTTGGTATCAGTAAGACTATCCAGTGAAACAGAACAACCTAAAACTAGCCAAATAAAACAGATGAACATCCTTAGTTTTACAAGCTTATAGAAAGCATCATTTAATTTAGCTAAACCAGGGGTCGGCAACGTTTCAGAAGTGATGTGCCGAGTCTTCATTTATTCACTCTGATTTAAGGTTTCGCGTGCCAGTAACACATTTTAACGTTTTTAGAAGGTCTCTTTCTATAACTCTATAATATATAACTAAAGTATTGTATGTAAAGTAAATAAGGTTTTTAAAATGTTTAAGAAGCTTTATTTAAAATTAAATTAAAATGCAGAGCCCCTCGGACCGGTGGCCAGGACCCGGGCAGCGCGAATGCCACTGAAAATCAGCTCATGTACCGCCTTCGGCACACGTGCCATAGGTTGCCTACCCCTAAGCTAAACTATGTTGCCATACTCTGATGATGGGGGCCAAATAGATACCTAGACAAAGAGAGATTAAGAGTTTTGCCTCATAAAGCAATTTTTAAGTGCTATATGTTTCTTCATTTTACCCTTGTTTACTAGGTTATGTATGTAAAGAAAACAAATTTGATAGCTGTGGAAAGTGAAATGGCAGAGTTCAAAAACTAAATTTGTAGAATGTTAGCCCAGGACTTCAAATGAAGACTTCAAGTATACTTTTTTAAATAGCTACCTGATTAATCTTCTCTCTCTGCAACAACTATACAGATACAGGTGAGCAATCGTTTCCATGTTCTCTCTACAGGTACTAATGCGGAGAGTGGACTAGATGACACATCTGAGGGAAGGAAGCAGGAGACTCCACCGATTGGAAGGCAAAAGATGCACTGTCCTAGGGATGGGGGTTCCACAACCACCACTCCCAAGAGGAGGAGGAGGGTGGTGGTGGTCGGGGACTCCCTCCTCAGGGGGACTGTCATCTATCTGCCGCCCCGACCTGGAAAACCGAGAGGTCTGCTGCTTGCCAGGAGCTAGGATACACGATGTGATGGAGAGACTGCCGAGACTCATCAAACCCTCGGATCGCTACCCCTTCCTGCTTCTCCACGTGGGCACCAATGATACTGCCAAGAATGACCTTGAGCGGATCACTGCAGACTACGTGGCTCTGGGAAGAAGGATAAAGGAGTCTGAGGAGCAAGTGATGTTCTCGTCCATCCTCCCTGTGCAAGGAAAAGGCCTGGGTAGAGACCGCCGAATCGTGGAAGTCAACAAACGGCTATGCAGGTGGTGTTGGAGAGAGGGCTTTGGATTCTTCGACCATGGGATGGTGTTCCAAGAAGGAGGAGTGCTAGGCAGAGACGGGCTCCACCTAACGAAGAGAGCGAAGAGCATCTTCGCAAGCAGGCTGGCTAACCTAGTGAGCAGGGCTTTAAACTAGGTTCACCGGGGGAAGGAGACCAAAGCCCTGAGGTACGTGGGGAAATGAGATACCCTGGGAGGAAGCACGAGCAGGAGAGCGCAAGGGGGAGGACTCCTGTCTCATACTGAGAAAGAGGGACGATCGATGAGTTATCTTAAGTGCCTATACACAAATGCAAGAAGCCTGGGAAACAAGCAGGGAGAACTGGAAGTCCTGGCACAGTCAGGGAACTATGATGCGATTGGAATAACAGAGACTTGGTGGGATAACTCACATGACTGGAGTACTGTCATGGATGGATATAAACTGTTCAGGAAGGACAGGCAGGGCAGAAAAGGTGGGGGAGTTGTGTTGTATGTAAGAGGAGTATGACTGCTCAGAGCTCCGGTATGAAACTGCAGAAAAACCTGAGAGTCTCTGGATAAAGTTGAGAAGTGTGAGCAACAAGGGTGATGTCGTGGTCGGAGTCTGCTATAGACCACCAGACCGGGGGATGAGGTGGACAAGGCTTTCTTCCGGCAACTAGCAGAAGTTGCTAGATCGCAGGCCCTGGTTCTCATGGGAGACTTTAATCACCCTGATATCTGCTGGGAGAGCAATACAGCGGTGCACAGACAATCCAGGAAGTTTTTGGAAAGTGTAGGGGACAATTTCCTGGTGCAAGTGCTGGAGGAACCAACTAGGGGCAGAGCTTTTCTTGACCTGCTGCTCACAAACAGGGAAGAATTAGTAGGGGAAGCAAAAGTGGATGGGAACCTGGGAGGCAGTGACCATGAGATGGTCGAGTTCAGGATCCTGACACAAGGAAGAAAGGAGAGCAGCAGAATACGGACCCTGGACTTCAGAAAAGCAGACTTTGACTCCCTCAGGGAACAGATGGGCAGGATCCCCTGGGAGAACAACATGAAGGGCAAAGGGGTCCAGGAGAGCTAGCTGTATTTTAAAGAATCCTTATTGCGGCTGCAGGAACAAACCATCCCCATGTGTAGAAAGAATAGTAAATATGGCAGGCGACCAGCTTGGCTAAACAGTGAAATCCTTGCTGATCTTAAACACAAAAAAGAAGCTTACAAGAAGTGGAAGCTTGGACAAATGACCAGGGAGGAGTATAAAAATATTGCTCAGGCATGCAGGAGTGAAATCAGGAAGGCCAAATCACAACTGGAGTTGCAGCTAGCAAGAGATGTTAAGAGTAACAAGAAGGGTTTCTTCAGGTATGTTAGCAACAAGAAGAAAGTCAAGGAAAGTGTGGATCCCTTACTGAATGAGGGAGGCAACCTAGTGACCGAGGATGTGGAAAAAGCTAATGTACTCAATGATTTTTTTGCCTCTGTCTTCACAAACAAGGTCAGCTCCCAGACTGCTGCACTGGGCAGCACAGTATGGGGAGAAGGTGACCAGCCCTCTGTGGAGAAAGAAGTTGTTCAGGACTATTTAGAAAAACTGGACGTGCACAAGTCCATGGGGCCGGATGCGCTGCATCCGAGGGTACTAAAGGAGTTGGTGGATGAGATTGCAGAGCCATTGGCCATTCTTTTTGATAACTCATGGCGATCGTGGGAGGTCCCAGATGACTGGAAAAAGGCTAATGTAGTGCCCATCTTTAAAAAAGGGAAGGAGGAGGATCCGGGGAACTACAGGCCAGTCATCCTCACCTCAGTCCCTGGAAAAATCATGGAGCAGGTCCTCAAGGAATCAATTATGAAACACTTAGAGGAGAGGAAAGTGATCAGAAACAGTCAGCATGGATTCATCAAGGGGAAGTCGTGCCTGACTAACCTAATTGCCTTCTATGTGGAGATAACTGGCTCTGTGGATGAGGGGAAAGCAGTGGATGTGTTATTCCTTGACTTTAGCAAAGCTTTTGATACGGTCTCCCACAGTATTCTTGCCGCCAAGTTAAAGACGTATGGGCTGGATGAATGGACTGTAAGGTGGATAGAAAGCTGGCTAGATCGTCGGGCTCATTGGGGAGTGATCAATGGCTCCATGTCTAGTTGGCAGCCGGTTTCAAGCGGAGTGCCCCAAAGGTCGGTCCTGGGGCCGGTTTTATTTAATATCTTTATTAATGATCTGGAGGATGGTGTGGACTGCACTCTCAGCAAGTTTGCAGATGACACTAAACTGGGAGGCGTGGTAGATACACTGGAGAGTAGGAATCGGATACAGAGGGACCTAGACAAATTAGAGGATTGGGCCAAAAAAAACCTGATGAGGTTCAACAAGGACAAGTGCAGAGTCCTGCACTTAGGACAGAAGAATCCCATGCACTGCTACAGACTAGGGACCGAATGGCTAGGTAGCAGTTCTGCAGAAAAGGACCTAGGGGTCACAGTGGACGAGAAGCTGGATATGAGTCAACAGTGTGCTCTTGTTGCCAAGAAGGCTAACGGCATTTTGGGCTGTATAAGTAGGGGCATTGTCAGCAGATCGAGGAACGTGATCGTTCCCCTTTATTCGACATTGGTGAGGCCTCATCTGGAGTACTGTGTCCAGTTTTGGGCCCCACACTACAAAAAGGATGTGGAAAAATTGGAAAGAGTCCAGCGGAGGGCAACAAAAATGATTAGGGGTCTGGAGCACATGACTTATGAGGAGAGGCTGAGGGAACTGGGATTGTTTAGTCTCCAGAAGAGAAGAATGAGGGGGGATTTGATAGCTGCTTTCAACTACGTGAAGGGGGGTTCCAAAGAGGATGGAGCTCGGCTGTTCTCAGTGATGGCAGATGACAGAACAAGGAGCAATGGTCTCAAGTTGCAGTGGGGGAGGTCTAGGTTGGATATTAGGGAAACACTATTTCACTAGGAGGGTGGTGAAGCACTGGAATTCGTTACCTAGGGAGGTGGTGGAATCTCCTTCCTTGGAGGTTTTTAAGGCTCGGCTTGACAAAGCCCTGGCTGGAATGATTTAGTTGGGAATTGGTCCTGCTTTGAGCAGGGGGTTGGACTAGATGACCTCCTGAGGTCCCTTCCAACCCTGATATTCTATGATTGCCAAAGGTTCCCAGTAGCAACTCCTACTAACTTTTAATGTGAACTTGAAGCATTCAGCCCTTTTGGAAAAAAAATTAGATTACTTTGATTTAGGAATCAACTTTGGGTACCATTTTGGCCTAAAACTGTATTGTCAGTCAACCAAAAAGTACTTTTTGAATATACTTGATTTTTTCACATCTATGAAGTAGCTTTGACCAGTATATTAGTTCTAGGAAGAGAAACTGACTGCACAGAAACAGTGACAGGTCAGTGTCCCCTTTCCCTTCCATTTAGCTAATTCCTTCCTCACACATGCCCACTCAAAAAATACCCCACCTCCCAAAATTGTGGCATTTGTGATCATTCCGTTCATTCTGACTATAGGTTACATCTTTGTCTCCTATGTCGTCTTGACTATTTAGATTATACGCTTTATGGGGCAGGGATTATTTATTAGTCTGTTTGTACTGTGCCTAACACAATGGGGCCTGTTCTCAGATCATCATTATGCACTAACAATTAATTAAAAAAAATAATCCCCAATACTTACCACATTGAAATCTAAGTTCTTTTCTACCCATTCCTTGGCTTCCTTGAATTCATCTTTCATTTCCATGATATACAGTGTATCCAAGGCATCTACTATTGTTGCTCCTTGAATGTTACCTGAAAACACATGGAAATATAATTATATACTCTCTAATAGTAATTTCTTCAAATAAATCTGGTTAAAAATAAATTAACATACAAACAAGTGGACAACTAGTTTCTAGTCAGTTCATTTTGATTCTCATGCCTGAGCAAAACACGAATGTTGTGTTTCAAATACTGTAGGGGAACGTTTATGTTTCATTGACTTTTCTACTGGATTGGGGATGGGCAGGGAAATTGTGTTTAATACTTTGGCTTGGAAGGATTAGATTTTCATCCGTAAATGTCATGTCAGCAAATGTCTATTTCACTGTAAACACAGAAGATGATGAAAAACATTTCCATGGATTGCAGAAATTTACAGATTGGCAAAATAAGAAAAATGCTGCTTGAGAGCTTAGTTTGATTTAAGGATATTTACTTTGTATATTTTTACATGTGATGTTGACAATTTTTTGTTTTAATGGTTATAAAATTAACTTTTTGAACCTCAGTGTCTAATGTCATTTAATTATTGTCTGACCCTCTCCCCCATAGTTTCCCACAGCTGTGAAATTTTGAATTGGACAAAAATTAAAAAAACATGCTTAAACATACATCTATTATCGATTGACTTTTTTTTTTAAAAATCACATTCTGCCAAGGCTACTTGTATTGTACACACTAAAATTTGGGCCCAATGTAATTGATAATGTCCTTTCACGTAGTAACAAGCTTTAACAATATTTTTCCATGTACAAGACCGACAAAAGTACATAACTAACATCTACCACCACTGTAATACCAGTTAATGTTATACTTGTGAAAATTTATTTCAGAGGGTTTTTTTGGGGTTGTCAGTCAGTCTTTGTCTTGCTCACTCAGTGCATAATACTAAACAGCCACTGAGGATCTTGAAACACTATTAACGATGTACTAAGTTTCACAACATCAAGAGTTAGTGAATACTATTCTTATTTTCTAGGGTCACACAGGAGTGCTTGACAAAGCAAGGAATAGACCCTTTAACTCGTCTTCTAATCATATACTGCAATCAAAAGAACATCCTTTCTCTAAGTGAATTTTGTTTATATTCCACTTGGCCCTGCCTGGACCTCAAGTGACCTCACCTACTATTATTTGTATTACTGTTCCGAGGAGCCTTACTCATGGACCAGGCCCCATTGTGCAAGGCACTGTACAAACAGAACAAAAATACAGTCCCTCCCCTCCCCCACACACAGAGCTTACAATCTAAGTATACTACCAGAGACAGATGGATACAGATAGTTTTTTTCATCTTTGTCTTCACTTAAGTGTGCATGTCAACCAGTTCATCTTCCAATTCAAAACCAAAAGAGGTATTAGATGCTATTTCTAGAACTAGTTCTGGTGACTCATGAAGGCTGCAACCCTCCTTCTTGATTTTGGGGATGTAAATAAGTCAGTTTATCACAAACTTTCAATTTAAAAAAGTATCTATCCTGTTTTGTCGCAAAACAAAATACATCACTAGTGTTTAAAATCTGCCACTGACTTTTCCCTGAAGATTCATGAACCAATCACACTGTTGCGGGGTTGGTGAGGCAGCGGGAGGAAGCCACCTGAGTTACTTGCTATTGGCTTTAGGCTGTCTCAAGCTTCCTCCAAATGGAGTGTACAGTCCTGAATAAATTCCATCACAGCCATAGCCCACACACGAGAATGACACAATGGCACAGCTGGTGCCAGGCTAGCCAGCCCACACATTCACCTGCAAAACACATATGCTTAGAGTCTGTTCACAAGGGCACGGGGACAACTCCTCAGATACTCTATGGAGGCACTGATATGGTGATTGAGCACTATATAAAAATTTGGATCGATAGAAAAACCTAAGCTAAGAATAAAAATCCCCTTTTTAATTTGAATATTAAACAAATTAAGACGTAGTATATCTGATCCAACTGTCCGCTCCAGAGTGTGTATTTGTAAATCCTACTCCTCCGCAAGATTTTATGATGGGCAGGAAGTTTGGCAGGAGCCCAACACCCATGAAGCAAGAAACGCAAGGTCAGTGCTGCTATCACAGCAGGCCTGCCACGCATGCATGCAGTTCAGTGCTAGCTGCAATTTACTACTGCTGTTATGGAACTTCTGCTTTTAGAATACTGTATTTTAAATGATTACCATAATTAAAAATTTTAGGTAGAGCAAAGATGAGAGGAATTCACGAGAAGGGTCATACACACCACACCAAATCAAATCAGAAAGACTCAGTGAACAAAGTACTTATAGAACAGAAGAGGGCTTAAAATTCTGAGAAACAGTACTGGAAACTATTAAAATACTTATTGGAAAACTAAGAGCAAAAACAGAATATCCAAGCATTTCCAAGTCCAGGCACTGTTAGCAATGGATGTAAAAAAGGTTTTAACAGACTGAGGAAGCAGCTCTATAATGCAGGCTAGTAACTATCTTTTTGTTCTGTGTTTGTACAGTGCCTACCGCAATGAGGTATTGGTCCATGATTGGGTCCTATGGTAATACAGATAATAGCAGTAATAATAAAAGCAGCATTCTAGTCTAAACTTCCACTTTCACTGATAACCATTTCAAAACGTTATTTCAGTCCCAAACTATTTATATGCTGCTTCTTATCACAAAGAATTTTAGTCAATAATAAGTATGCTTATTTTAAGCCAGATTTACTCAGTAGTTTAATATTTATATTTTAAATTTATTTTCATTTACATATGTGATCTAATTGTGTGTTTTGTGCAGAAGCACCTAAATGTATTGGCTAACTTTTGAGAACACTAGTTTGCCTGTGAATTCATCTTGCTGAGTCAACAATAGATAACTAATTTTTAGAAATATGTATTTAGTTGCCAGTGTAACTTTAACACTGATACTGTTTTTGAAATGTTTTACTAGCATAGAAATAAATCAGCAATGTGAGTTTGTACTAAGACTATAAAGCAATACTATATTCCTGTGTTGAACTGCAGTACTAATTGCAGTTTTGGTTTCCCGTTTTAGAATTTAGAGCTTCAAGTCTCTTGCTTATTCATGAAACAGATAAGCAATTTGACTCTTTGTACAGAAACGACAGGGCTGCCAATTTGAAGGACACACTAATTCTTCTACTACTACTTACTTGTGACACCTTACTTACTGTAACTGGTTATAGGAAAAAAATTTAACTTCATTAACTATCTTCTTTGTGCATTTGTCAGAACCATGCATTTACCCACTTGCACTGTGATGTTGATTGCCAGCTGCTAATCTATTGCACTTCGCCCTGAATGGCCTCTTGCAACATGTTAACTTCTTATCTGTTCCACCCCTTGTATTTATCTGTGACACTACCTTTCCCTGAAAAAGAAAGGTCTTTTACCAACAGAAGTTGCATCAAGAAAAAAATATTACTTCACCCATACCTCTATAATATTCTACGATTAGCATAGCTATAACACTGCAAATTTCTCACCCCATGTCAGGCACTAGCATAATTTCACCTTAGCACTCCACTTGGAGAGCTCATGTTCACTCAGCCCTAGAGCCTGCAAGAGGATGTTTACCAGTAACAGTACAGCAGAACTGCTGCTGTTTGAGGTTTGAAACCAGAAGGGCGTCTCCTCTTCCCACAACCCCTGCATGGAACCCCTTTCTCAAATTCAAGCTGACAGTGTCCCTTTAACTTAATAAAGTAACTTGTGCTTATCTAAATCCAACCAATGTCCTTACAATGTAAAGCATGATACAAAATGCAAGACATTGTACACTAGTGGTAGCTGCAGGACAGCAGTTCAGGAATGATACACTATGATCTAAGTCAACAAAATCATACAAGAAAGTAAGGAGCATGCTCAGGAAATCTACTAGAAGACATAGATAAGAGGACACATCATATCATGTTATGGTTCTAGAGACATTTAATAACCAAGTACTGTGAAATCTGCTTATAGTGAATTCTGTAATAGTTTAGCTCCACTTACAGGGAAAAAAGTGTATCTTGATTTCCTTCTGTCCATTTCGATGGGCTTTTCCTCTACTTGCATTGCAATACCTCTCCCTGTGTTAATCCTCTTGTAATACAGCTAATAGCTCTAAAGTAGTTGTTTTTTTAGCATCTGTGGACCCCTAAAGAGGTTTTGAATGGAGGTACAGACCCCTTTGGAAATTTTAGTCTGAGGGACCCCTGGGTCCACAGGTTGAAAACCATTGCTCTGAAGAGTTAAGCACTGCATTCCAGGGTGTGTCACCTAACCCACCCCCAGCTTTGAGCAAGAGAAAAGATGCTTCTGCCCTGTTGAGGAAGGAGGTTTGGAGTCATTCATGGCTGCAGCTGTTTCCTGTGAGGAGCAGAAATAGTTTTGCTATCTGATGCGAGCAGTTGTAGTAAGGATGTGGCCTTCCTAGGTATGTCTAAACAGCAACTGGCAGTGAGCCTCCCAGCCTTGATAGACAGACTCATGACCCAGGGGGGTGGCTAGCCCAAGTCTCTGCGGGTACATCACCACCCACACTGCTATTTCAGCGTGCTAGCTCAAGCCCCGCTAGCACAAGTGTCTACCTGAGCTGAGAGGCGCACTACCAGCCTGAGTGAACAAAATGGAGAGACTCTCAGACAGACTCCCCTGTATTTATATGACAAGCTGGCTGTGGTGATAAAAAAAATTAAAATCTGCTTTTTCTGAGTGCTCCCCTATATTTTGAACAATGTACCGCCCACATTCTGTAGCATGGGACCCGAAGTCATTCAGATTTTAGACACATTAAAACACTATTTTTTTAATTAGATGTATTTAGAAAGATACTGATTTCTTCTTAATACACAAAAGTTTAAAGCGGAGATCTCCAAAAAAAGCAGCTACAGAGGGTAATGCAGAATATTTTATAAATATAAAACGTAAAAAACCCTCAACTCAGCCCTAAATATGGAGCCATGACTGGTACCTCTACAGTACTGAGCAAGGGACTGAGCAAAGAGACTGGTCTAAAATTCTTAACCAAGGAAGAAAGAAGATAGAGTTGTCAACTCTCACCATTTT